GCCTCCCAGACGCTCACGCTGTGTCAGGCTCTTTGAACATTACGTTCTCTGAGCTCGTGGCCCTCGTTACTCGGGTCTGAACGCCGACAGGCTTGTGAGTAAACTTTTATCAGCTGCTTGTTCTGGTTTGTGTTTTAGCAGCAGCCCTCCCCCAACACACACACACACACACACACACACACACACACACACACACACACACACCTTCAGAGCGTCTGGTTTTAGCGGGATTCCCTGTCAGATAAATATAACCGTGCTCGTTCACGATCGGGCCGAGTCCCCAAAACAACTCTGTACTTATAGAGCAGCTAAGCTAGAAGTGGTGTGTGTGTGTGTGTGTGTGTGTGTGTGTAGGGCCTCTTTCTGTGGCTCAAAGAACCCGAGGCTGGGGGTCCAGGCTTAAGAGGCTGAGCCCCAAAGATAGGAGGAAAGGGGGGCAGAGAAGGGACCAGATTTAGGATAAAAAGGACCCAAACCTGTAAATGTGTCATCAGCAGAGAGGCTGGATCTCTGAGACCACAGCGCCCCCTGGGGGAACTCACTGAAACCAGGAACTACATCAAATCTCACAAACATTATTTTTTGTTTGTTTTTACATAAAAACAAGATTCATAGAAAATATTTGATTTTGAATTTTGGCTCAACAGAATTTAAAAAGTCAAATAAAAGATGAGTTCAAAGGTCATCCGGCTCAGATCTCTGCAGCAGTTTGTTGGAGTTGTTTCTTCCTGATGTCAACGTGTTGATCCCGTGTCCAGGTGCAGAGCGGGAGTCCAGGGAACACGAGGAGAGCCTGGCTGCAGACAACACAGGAGACCTGCAGCCGGCCAAAGTGCCCCTTCATCCCATCGACATCGTGAACAGTAAAAAGGTCATCGCCGTGCGCAAAGAGCAGAAGAGGAAGCTGGGCAGGCAGCGCACCTACAGCGCCACCGTGGATTACCCACCTCTGACCATCGACAAGCACGAGCCCGAGTTTGTAAGTGAAGGATTTCAGACAAAGATGTTTTTATCAGTTTAACCCCTGCAGTTTCTCGTTCAAGGTTTATTTTTATTATTATTTTTTTTGAAGGGTCCCTGCAGGAGGAAACTGGACGGGATCATTCAGGGGATGAAGGACACGTCTCGTGTCATGGCTCTGTCGCTCTACCTTCCAAACTGTGACAGAAAAGGATTCTTCAAGCGTAAACAGGTGCCACCAAACTTCCATTTCTCATGCTTTAAATGCWGATTTCATGAGCCGAACCTCTTTCAAAGAGTCCTGACTGGATCTGGTTTTATTGTTTATGTAAAGAAAGTCTTCTTTGGTCCAAAGAGAGGGATTTATTTATCCAGATTTCAGCTTTAGGCAGGAAAAAAATAAATATTTTTACAAATTGAACACTAAAAACTACAGATAGTTCCTACTGGGAGGATTAAAACAACTTCCTGTTAGAGTCTGAAAAATGTGGAGGATCAGAGTCAGAGAAAATAAAATATTCTTAGAGTTCTGACTTGGTTCCTAATCAACTCTGACTTGATCCTAATCAACTCTGACTTGGTTCCTAATCAACTCTGACTTGGTTCCTAATCAACTCTGACTTGGTTCCTAATCAACTCTGACTTGGTTCCTAATCAACTCTGACTTGTTTCTGACTTGTTTCCTAATCAACTCTGACTTGTTTCCTAATCAACTCTGACTTGTTTCCTAATCAACTCTGACTTGTTTCTGACTTGGTTCCTAATCAACTCTGACTTGGTTCCTAATCAACTCTGACTTGGATCCTAATCAACTCTGACTTGGATCCTAATCAACTCTGACTTGGATCCTAATCAACTCTGACTTGG